AAAAAAAGAAAAAAAAAGAAAAAAGCTCATTTTTGGCTACTTCTTTTCAGATCTGAAATGCAAAAATGCTGTTCCTTGCACAGGGAAAACCATGGCCCTGAAGCATGGCTTTGAATCAGATCTACCATATGATGAATGTGTAGGAGAGATGCAATACTAGCAAAAAATCCTTTTTGCTCTGGAAAAGCCCGGGGCTCTAGAGCTGAGAGCATGCAGCCCCCATATTACATCATGCTAAGAAAATTCAGGGCTTATCAGGGAGTTTACCATGCCATGCCACAACAAGGCTCTACGCCTTCGGTCTTTACCTGCTGAATCATCTCCGGGTGCTGCTGCATTATGTGCAGGAACCGGTCGCTCTCCTGGGTCAGAGGTGTGGTCCTCTTCTTGGTGCTGCGAGACAGCTGCTTGAAGAGATAGGTGACAATGTGGTCCAAACAGGAGCAGCAGCCTGTGCAAACCATGGTGTCTGCAAGAACAGGAAAGGGGAAGATATTGGGGTACTGCCAGCATTTCCCTTGCTCAGATGCACCTGGGCAGGCTCCCAGGGAAACGCCACCATTTATCTGGGTCCTTTTAGGGACTTTGCAAGCAAGAACCACCTAACCCTAAATGAGTCGGTAACCTCCTCACCGACATATTCACTATCTCTAACGTCCCAGCTTTAACAGAGGTGAAACTCCTCCACCCATTCACAAGGTACATCTTAATTTATCTGTTAGCCTGAAATACCATGCATTCAAAGCAACCAAAATCTTTCCCCACTTCCAAATCAAAGCCCTAAGAGCACAACAGAGAGCAGAAGTAGTTACCTAGTGCAGTGAGGCCTTCTGAAATGGAAGAGAGAATATACATGATTACATGAGGCTCCAGACTGGCTATAAAGTTCATATGGTCCTGGGTAAGAACTTCCAGCAAGGAATAGTATGACTGGCTGAGCTTGGGATAATCCTGCAGAGAAAGGAGGAGAGAAAGACTTTTAAGGCCTCATGGTTAGCCTGTAACCATCAGTTAAGGCTTTCTGCTACACCCAACCCATTAATCACCTGAAAACTGCTTACTGAATCTCCTGGAAAGAGAACAAACCAACCTCTCTAACAGCATAACTTATGGGCCAACATATTTTATCCTCTTCTCCCCCAACAAGAGCCTTCCAAACAGGCTCCAGCAACAATGGCCCAGCAGGTTCCCAACACTGTTATATCAAACCATCTTTCCCCACTGCTTCGTTCTTTTCTAAATGGGGAGTGTTAACTGACTAATGCCAGTGCTGGAGATTCAGAGATAGGAATGACTCTCCAGGTGTCCATGCAGAGTGCCAGATCACATAAAAATCAACATGCGCTGTGCTGGGCTCAGCAGCCTGCACCGCAGCCAGTGCCAGACCCCTCAAGCAGCCCCCAGACTGGTGGGGGGACTCTGCTGGGAGTCCTGCAAAGTGGCCCCATCTCAAGAGTTACATGTCTCAAGAGCAATGGTTTGGCCACCGGTATATTAAATCAAAAACGTGCTGAATGCAGTCACAAAGATGGCAACAATTTCTTTCAGATCCTGCTATGGTAATAAGACAGATAAGACTTGGGAGGAATATATGCTGCCCTCCCTCCTTGATATTGTTGCCAAGCAAGACTGTGCTGATAGGGTCTCAAAGCTCTGCGGCAAAATGGATTTCTGTATACGAGGTCTGGATAGGAGCAAGACGCTGTAGGTGGATGTCCTCAGCAAGCAGGTTGCACTGTAATTGCTGATGCATCAAGATCTCTGCCCACAGGCAATACAGGGAAGAACAATCCTTTACTCGCAGGAAGTGTTTTTCAGATAGAGGAGGAATTATTTTGGTAATTGCTCTGCTGAGACTTGGAGCATACCCTGCTGGAGAGCTGAGCAGCGGGGCTGCCCAGCGGGGCCTTGGGTGGTGGGGTTACAGCCTTCACGCAGGACCTGCCGCTGCACATTCCAGGAGCTGTAATTTCCTGCTGGCCTGTGCCTATAGCTGGGGTTCCAGGAAGTGGCACAAGTTCACTCGTCTCTGTGATTAAAGTATTCCTCTACTGCATAATCTTCCAACCCTGTCTTCCCTAGCCATGTGTTTAAACTGCTAATCACAGGTGTCAGCTTACCAGAAGGTCACTGTGAGGGATGGAAAGCAGAAGCTTGATAAAAGTTTGCAAGGCATTGTCCAGTGCATCATCCCCGTACAGACGGAAGACCCCAAAGTTGACGTAGCTCCCACTCAGTGCAGCCTTCAGCATAGAGAAGCAGATGGAAATCCCCTTGAGCTTCAAGGCATAGACTTGATCCTTTGGGACCTCCCCAAGCGTTAGGATACGATTTCCTGCATGAGCACAGAAGCGGACTCAGTATTTCAGCAACCACATCCAAACCCTTTCTCACCCAGGGTGCAGGAAAAACAAAAGTAGAGCCATAAGGAGTGACTGAGAAGTCAGCCACAAGCACCAAAGACTTATTCCCCAGCCAAAGGTTAAGGAACCTGACACAAGTTAAAAGCGCGGCTCTACTAGGAACCACGGGAGAACACAACTGCATGTAATTTTGCTGTGGAAACAGGACAGCATAAGGACAGATTGCTCTCTACTTGCTTCACAGGTTTGCCCATGTCACCTTGCACACTCACAAGGGGCTCAGCTGGGCTCCTGCTCATTGCTGTCATTTTCTTCCTCATTTTCACGGCAAACACCCTGCCCCTTCTGCTTGCCTGCCTACCCAGCACTTCAAGCAGAAGCATCTCCCTGTAGCTAAGCATGCATTCAGCAAGCGATTTGGCATGGCTTCCCAGCCCGGGCTCGCCCTCTGAGCTGGCAAGTGCCCCAGCCCTCACTCCTCAAGCAAGCGGAGGAGTCAAGGGCAGACCGAGGCTGCCCGGATCCCACCTGCTGGGTACTCACCATACGTAGTTATCTAAGAGCAGGATGCCATTCGGTGAGGACACATCAAACTGCAGCCGTTGGGATCTAATGGAAAGACAGGGAATAAACTTGAGCTCAAACATACCGGGAATAAAACCAAAGTAATACTCCAGCACCTCCATGTGCTGCTGCGTACTGGGGCACCCTCCTCCCAGGGCTGCTCCCCAGAGTTCAACAAAACACCCTGGTCTGGTAGAAAATACTGCTGTTCGTTACCAAAGCCAGACAGGACACAGCCACTTAGGGACAGACAAGCTCTGCTGTCACAGAAGAAAGGGCCTATATTTCACAGACGTTAGGAATATTACAAGATCGAGGCTGGAAATCCTGTCTTGGCAATAGTCACTAGGCTACTGTACACAAACACAGCAAACATCTTGGAAGCAGCATTGTAGGGCAGGCTGACTAGCTCCTATTCATAACATGACCAAGAATTCAGAGCTTGGCATTTTTTCCCCTACAGTGAATAGATCTTACAATTGAAGCGCAGCGAGTTGTCCAGTTCACCTCTGAAATAAATGAGTGGACATATTCCAGTAAGGATTGGCCTACTGCAAAGATGCCGGTCGGATGGGGCAAACAGTCTGACAGTACGGAGAGCCAACTCTCAAATGACTGTGCCTGAACCTTGTGTCCCTTCCACTCATCTGTAACAACGGTCCCTTCCTATAGGGTTGTGTTCAGCTGGCTGTAAGCCAGAGCAACATCTTGGCAACCTTCCACTGCCAGATTAGACAGCTTCTGAATTATCTGAATAGCATCAGAGGTACCTCTCTGCTGGTAAAAAGAGCTGATGCTCTAAAGCAAAAGTGGTCATCTGGCTGCCAGATAGAACGACGCTCATTTCAAACACAGGTTTTAAAAATTAACATGAGTTGCCTGCCTCCATCTTAGTGCTGTCCTTGGAAGCAGATGCTGAACAAGTTCAGTGTTTATTGATCGCCTCTCTTGGTCTGACTGAGTCATGACGTGACTGATATCCAAACTGTTAGATTTTCTTCCCTACTGAAACAGTGCCAGTTTCCCCCCTGTCCCCTTAGCAGCCTTTATAGCATAAATAGACTCAAGTAGAGAAAACACAACCGGGCACCAACACCCACACAAAGGCTGAAGCAGCAGACAGACACAAATCCCTGCCAGCTTTCAGATGCTGGAGGTTCATACCTATTATGTACCAACTCAGCCATCAGTTTGAGGACAGGTGTAGTGCAGGCTGGGTCATGGTACCAGAGTTCAATTGCCCGCTGTAGGATTGGCATGTAGGATGGGTAGCTGCAAGGTAAAAGCTAAGGAACTTTGTTGCTTTGCATGAAGAGAAAAGGTCACAACCTCTACCAAAAAGACATATTTTGTGTACTGCACCCGAACCTTGCAAAGGAGCTTACTTAACAAGGTTAAACAGAGATGCTGCTTTATCACAGAAAAAATAATAATAATAAAAAAAATCATCTTAAGTCCGTTGAAGGAGTTGCATACACACTTATACTAGGAAAAACCAGAACCAAAGAGTTTTTGAATGAAAGGGAAGACAGATACAAAAATCTGTCACTGCAACAGCCAGCTGACCTTCACCAGCCAAAGAGAAATCTGGAGCCCAGATACCGTGCTCTTTGAGCAGCTATGCTCTCACCAAGAGGACAGAGATACCAACCGCTGTTGGCTTTAGCAAGCAAGAGGAAAGCTTTTGTTGCTGCTGAGAAACAAGCATCCCATTAAAGGCCTTTGTGCTTTACAGGTCAAATCTCTTTAGGTCCAATCGGAAAAACCCCAACAGTTCAGCTTTGAGCAGATTTCTAGGTTGACTTGGCTGCAGACAGACCAAGTCAAATCTATTTTAGGCCTTCGAGACAGGACACAGAGTACTATAAAGTGAAGAGAAATCCCAGTCAGGATTTAGCAGGGAAAATAGGGCATTTGGATGCAGTCAGCCAGAGTTCTCCCCTCTGACAGACAGGACGACTCAAGTTTTAGGGCAATAGAAGGATACATCCACTCAAACAGCATCATGAAGCTGGTCTTGGCATTGAAGGCAAAGGCTATTCCCCTCAAGTCTCTCACCAAACCAACCAAAGTTCTCTGTATTGCAAAAGAAAAGATACGTTAAAATATTCCCTCCCTGGCTGCACCAGCCCAGAGCCACTTCCCTTCCTCCCATCCCTACAGCAATACAGCCTTTCTGTGCTGGATGCCAATCCCAGGTTAGACAGTTCTCCCTCTTCAGTGCCAGAAGCCCTCTTTAATTTGAGCCAGTGCGGTGACAGTACTGGGGTATTTCATTCCCAGCAGAAGGAAAGCTAGCAGATGAGGCTCACTGCTTCAATTACGAACTGCACCTAGACCCCAAGGGATAAGGCACACCACCGCTTCCCCACATACTGAAAGAAAAGCACCTATCTCTCCAACATCTACTTGTCTCGTTCAGAGGGCAGAATGGCTCTCACTCTGCAGGCGTTACTTGTTCTCTCCTGTCTGTCTGAACTGAAAATGTCAAAGCCTCTAAGTGAAAGAGTAGGGAGAGCATGGATAACAGGGAAGGTCCTGCCCAACTTACTTTTGCCTCTTGTTCATTGAACGTATTTGTGCTGAACATCTGGGCCACAGTCTCAAAGGCAGCTGTGAGGGGAAGCATGAACTGCTCATACTGATCCTCATCTTCCCCTGAAAGAAAAAAAAACAGAAATCAGGAGGAAATAGACTGCACATCCCTGAGCCCTGCAGTACTGCCTGTGCTAGACGTTCAGACGTTGCTCACCCACTGAGCTAGAGGCAGAGAGACCACAGGTTTCCAGACAGGTCATCTATTACTGCCAATACCTAACTTACAGATAAGGCTTAGAACAAACTCTGCCATATCAGGAAAACATTTGGAATATTATGAAGGAAAAATTTAGCCCCAGCCTTGGTGGTGTGCACCTCTGAACTACCTGTACCCAGCAACGTGGCATCAAACCCACTCTTGAGCTTCTTTCCCCTCCTTTTCCTTATCGCATTTGCCTTTTCCCATTCCAGCATCCTTTTCTGGAAGAGCTTACAGCTCCCTAAATAGCAGGACCCAGCATATCGCAGAGCCCAGCATCCAAACCACACAGTTTTGCTCTGGATCCCAGGAAAAGACCCTAGTACCTAAATCCACCATGAGAAGACGTCCAAGTGCAGTGTAGAACGTAGTCCGACATCTCATGTCAGTCAGGTTGGACTGATTGTTAATGCCCAGGAAGGAAAAGTGCTCACTCTGCAAATGGAAGAGAAGAGATGGGTTAAAGGGGAACCACCAGCTTGAATGGGCTCCTGAATCACGGGCTGAGGATGCCTCATTCCCCTGTCTAATTCTCAGCCTGTGCAAGGATGTGAAGCAGCAAGCTGCACGGGTATCTCATAACCGCTTCACATCTGCCAGCCATCTTGGAGAACAGGCCACCAGAGGGCAACAGGCACCGCACCTGCACACCCCGGAGCAGTGTCCTATCTGCTGGCAAAGATACCAGTTATCATCTTTCATCTTGGAATTCCCCAGGACCAGACGAACAAGGAAGTCTTGCTTTGCCTCCAGAGCAGAGAAGCAATCTGCCCCCCTTACTCATGGGGACCCTTCAGGCATCAAGGTGCTGAAAACCAGCCCTCTGCAGACAGATCCCCAGTTACTCTGCCCACATTCTCCAGGGAAAAAGTAGCCCCAGACAATGCAGTCTGAATGCAGCTTCTGGGCCAAACACAGGACGTGGGACTGCCTGCAAAATATCCCCCAGCTCAAGGAATACAGCACCTCGTTCAACCAGTCAATGCAAACCTTCTGGATGTGGTGCTGGGAGTCCTATCGCTACAGCATCGCAGCATCAAATGACCACATGCTCCCAGAGGCAAGTCAGAAATCTGATACTTTGCTGCTGGCTTCTAGTTGCTCATTCTAACATTTTTGATTTCAAGTCAGCATCCCAGATCTGCACACAGAGTACCAAGGAACAAGGCTGCTATCCTGACCACTGCAAGACATGGCACTTCTTCCAAACCGGCACTTTTAGAATGAAAGCTGGGGCACTGAAATGCTGTTATATTTTGCATTAAATTGCATAAACAGTGCTCACTGCTGTCTGCCTGCATGTGCAGCAGTATCAGCCGTCTCCTGCATTTCACTCTGGAGATGGCTGTCTTTCAGTGGAGAGTAAAGAGACCCCCACATTAACCCTTCGGGGATGAAAGGTACCACATAATTACAGCCCCTCAAAATTGAAGGGCAGGCTTTGAACAAAGAGAGACAGAACACAGATCACATTTTCCAGAGGCTAAACTAGTATGATGGAAGCATCTGGGAGACAGGTAAACTTCAAAAGTGTGTCCAGGTGTTAAAATTAGGGAATTATCTCAGTTGCACAAAGGCAGACAGAGGAGTTTGCTGTGAGATGAAAAGCAGAAGGTGAAAGGACTTACCGTGTGATTGTTCAGCATGAACTGTACGGCGCTCAGTTTCACCAGCTTTCTAACACTACTGTATGTAAAGGGGGTGTTAAGGAAGAAGCAGAGTAAGCAGAAAACTTCCTGCAATGCTTGCAAAGCACTTTCCAGGGCAAAAGTGGAAGGGGACTTACATCTATATTATTCAGTATGTTCTAGCCTCTCTTCCATTTGTTTCAAGAGCAACCAAGCTGCATGCATCTCTACTGCAGAGACCTGCAGTGACCATTTTTATTTACTCTCTCAGGAAGAACAAGTAGAAGACCATAAGATAGACTGCAAACAAATGAACTGTGGAAGTAACAAAGCAATTATGATCCAAAATAAAAATAACTACATTATAGCCATCCACTGCAATTCAACAGCTAGACGTTGACCAAGCACTCGCACTCTGCTCTTCTCATCAGGAATCTGTTACACGCAGAGTGCTCCTGTTCCAGCCGAGCATCTGGGTCACTCTTCCCCCATCCTGAGGTTAAAGTGTTCTGCGCACCCAACAGCTCTTCTGAAAAGGATATCCAATGGAGAGGTCATTGAGCAGCTGCAGCGTCTTGGAGGTGATAGGCTCGCATCGACCCCAGTACTTCAAGTTGGTGATGCTAGGGAAGAGGACAACAAAGACAGATCAGAGGGCTTTGCTCGGCTTCCCCTTTGCTGTGCGGCGGATTCTTCCAGTTCAAAAGTCACCCAACATCATCAGCTCCACCCTCCACCGAAACCACAGACATCACAAGCCACAAAATATTGGTATAAAATTACTGTACTTACATTTGGTTGACTAGAAAATTATCCTTCAGATAATCTTCACTACTTGGGTCCCAAGCTACACTGGCCCATACCCAGGCCCTTGGAATTCTGTGGCACTCCAGGGCTGGTTTCTGCAGCAAGGGTAAGAGAATTCTGCGGCAGTGACTACATGCAGACGTATGCAATTCTGCACCTGCACCATCCACTGTCAGCTGCAGAATTCTAGTAGCCCTTGCTTCTTCCAGGAGAGCCATTTCACCCCTTGGGGATGATGCGCAGCCGGGGCGCACGAGGGTAGGCAAGGCCCCATGCACGTAAAGACGGGGGCGATGCTAAAGAAGTAGAGGGGGAGCTAGCTGCTGCACGTCGCCAGGCACATGGCACTGGGCATCAGCACTGGAGCTACTGAATTGGTTCAAAATGCTCACGGAGGCTGCCAAAGACATGACAAAAAGCCAGTCGACAGGTTTGGTCCAGAGGAGAGCTGCCAAGGAACACGCTGAAGAGGGTGCCTACCAGAGTGGAAGAGTTTTAAGGAAAGGACTTGTGCTACTCTGGTACTGAACAGCACAACTTGCAAAGAAAACCTCTGAAGGAGCAGTCCCCTCCCCATAGAGCTTTCGTGGCTGGTGATTGCCAATAGTCAAGTGATAGGGCATGAGTGCTTGAGGCTGTCCCCTCTCTGACTTTGGTTTTACTAAGCAGGCACTGGAAAGAGAATCCATTATCCTGGTGTACGGCTTATTTTTGTGTCTCCATAGCCCAGGCTAGAATCCACGGTGGATAAATCAATCCTGGATATTGTGCGTGACTTAAGCCCTGATAAAAGCTGTAATTCTCTCAAGTAGCCAGATGTTACTAGCTTTAGACTGAACAACACTCCCTCATATTCCAGTTTTCCTGGTTACACCTTCAAATAAACCCTGGACACTCTGATGCCTGCAAGCAGGAACACTTACATTTTTCCTATGAAGACGCTCAGGACCATGGTCTCATCATTCAACCCCAGGACCTCTGAGAGACGGCGGTACAGCTGGAGGGGAAAAAAATAACACCAGTTTAAAAGCTGTCAACAAAACAAGTAATGATCAAGGATTATTTGTTTTTCACTTGTTCTCCCTTTGTGACACACATGCCTGGGAGGGCGTATGCTCTGGGCTTTCCCAGATCAGTCAAACAATGCAGAGAGATGCTCGTGATCTGATCCAGACCAACACTTGCCCTAATCACTGCTATCTCTTTTCTGTCGCTAGTCATAGCAGGTTCAGATACTGTACACAGAAGCTGGAGCACTTGCTTTTCCTAGGGAAAGGGGACATAACAACTGTGCTCCTCCACCTGCACCTACAAGCAGTTTCTTAGTGAATTTGTCTGGAACGCTAAGCCCCTTGCCACATCACTGCTCCAAAGTCTGTGAGATGGGGAAGGAAGGTCTCAGGTTACTGGAAAGGAAGAGAATCTAATTCTAGAGTAATGATGTTCCCATTCTTTACGTATTTTTTTTAATTTGAAAAAGGTATTTTGCATCTCTCAAAATGCACCAAGGCATTCAAAGTCCAGCACATCTACAATTGCCTTGCGATGAAGAGAATGGATATTTATCTTCACTTTAGAGCCAAAGAAGCAAGGCACAGATGCTAAGCTCAGGCTCCTCATGGGTGCTTGAGGTGGTGCGACTCGCACACTTTCACGGGTATATAGGCTTAAGGGACTCATCTGAAGTCACAGAAGAGACCTGGCAGGTAACAAAACTGAACCCAGGTCTCAAGTTCTGGCTCCTTCCTGATGCATACAGAACACGGTGTTTCAAAAACAGCTCAGGGTTTGCAATATTAACACTGGACATGTATCTACAAAACACAGCAGACAGGTGTCTCAAATATTTTCAGCTATAAAAAAGAGAAAACAAATAATGCCATTTGCTTTCATTTAAAAAGGGAAGCTATTACTGGACTTACATCACTAAAGAGACATAGCAAGGGAACTGATTACCTTGGAAGACTTCTGCACCTGATCTCCAATATAGATCTTCCGGAACTGCTCAAAGAAGCTCAGCATGGCAAGCTCCAGCTTCTCATTCCCAGCCTGCGCCAGACGAGAGTCCGTCAGGTTCATCAACTGCAGCACCCTGGAGAGAGGTGGGAAAAACACACCTTGCTGATGGACACCGGGAGAAAGGAGGGATTTCTGGCACATGGTGCTGTTTCCAGGCTGCGTGCAACAGTATTTTTCACCTTCTGTGGGCACTGTCATTTTGGGTCAAGAACTGACAAAACTGATAACAAAACACTGACTAGGGCACATTCCTCTTCCGTGCAAGGCCATTATAAGGCTTCTATATCCCTTCTAACAGGGATGCAAGGCCTCGGTTTTAATTTGCTGCAGAACTGAGTTTCGGGTGCTTTAGCACACTTACCCAGTGACTGATTCATTGTGTTCTCAAACCCACCTGTGAAACCACTACCTGCTCCCCTCACAAAAGCCAGACTCTAAACGACACTCCCACTTCAGTTTGGCTTTTGTTGTGAGCCCTGCAGAAACAACGCTGTGACCGGTGCATGGGCAAAATGAGCAGACCTTGCTGGCAAGGAAGGGGTGGAGGGATTTTAGGGTAAATAACACACATGCAGCAGAACAGGGGGGGACAAAAGCAAGGATACTCCTTTTGGCAAGTGCCACAAAGCACAGAGTGGGAAAGAAGATAAAACATAAATAAACTTCTGTGAACAGGTATCATATATGCTGGCACTAAAGGTAGCTGAAATATATACGGGGTCTCACTATTTCCCCTTCAATAACTCATCAGCTACATGAGAAGCCAGTGCTTGATATTATCTATTAGCCATGGCTCACCAACAGGCCATCTTCCATACATTCACAGCTTAGCTCCTTTTCCTACCCTAGCTTCCAAGCTGAGCAATTAGGATCTGGATCAGAAGGCACTCAGCGTGACTCAAGGTTGTTCATGAGTAGTGAGCTACATGTTCTTACACCCATCAAATAAAGTTTGCATTTGAGAGGATTTACAATCCCAAAAATCCAGCATGTGTTAGGCAACATTATAAAGTTTTAGCAGCTACAGAAAAATTACAATATTCATAGCATATTTATGGACAAAACCCACTTTGGATTATTACTAGACAAAAGATTTTTCCCCCCACCCCAGCAAAGAACCATCATGCATTTAGTTCTACTCCAATGCATGCATTTAAGCCCGGTAACATTCCCCTCTTACATGCTCTTCCCCTCTCATTCTCTTTCTTATAACCCAGATTTCCCAATTTAGCCAAGCCACAGCAGAAGTTTGCTGCCTGGCTCTAGCCAGTGCCGCCAATCTCTTCTTTCAGGATGGCCAATTCCACACTGTTCTTTTCAGTGAAGAGAGGGGAAGAACATGGTTGCAGCTTCACAATAGCAATTCTTTTGTTGACTTCAGGAGTGGTGCAGCTAGAAAACAGTCAGCATCCCTACCGACAAACCAACTCGCCATCCATCGCATCCTGCTCATCCGTGCTGGCGAACGAGACCCTACCACCAATCACTGCCCCGATAATATAGACGAGCCACGTCAGGCGCCCTGAAACCAACAGAGGACATCAGAACCAAGCACATCACACATTACACAGAGGAAGCCGAGATTTGCATTTTATTTTAGCAAAGGCAGGATTCACAAGGAGTACCTTTCTGCTTTAGTAACCATCTATACCAAAATTACTCAATTTTCCACTTGGTGGAGAGCAGGCACAACTTTACTAGAAAAGAAACAAGAATGCCAGGTCTGCCTAGAAGATTTTTGTTATTTAAAGCTATTCCACTGCAGAAAGCCACTTTCTTGTAAAACTGTATTCTATGTATTTAAACATGTGCAGATGCCAGCAGGCAGCATTTATTCTTTCAAAGTACATGTGGCTGGTGGAGAAGTCCACATCATATGGAGTTTTGCCCAAACACACGCACAAGAAGAGAAGTACTGTGTTAGATCAGACAATACTGTTTTAGAAGGAAGAGGAAATTCCATACTTGTGCTGATGCGCCCAACTCCTCCACGAAAGGGGAAGCCAGCTACATTATTAGAGAGGGGGCATAACACAGCTATACCTGAACCTCCAAAGGAACTGCTTCTTTATGGCTAGTGTTAAGCAATTCCTAAACCAACCAGCTGTGCAAGTACAAAACCTCCATGCTGAACCCACCCAATGCTGCGGACAGACACCCTCCTTCAGACAGTGGCACCAGCTGAAAACCCCACTCCCAGTTACTCATTAACAACCACCAGCTGGAGATTTCTGCCACACAGCCAGCAGGGAGGTTCAAATGAGCACTCCATATCCTGCCTCAGACAAAAGAGGGATGGGGCAGGCAGTGCTGACCACCTGGGGATGGGAGAACATCCTCATAACTTGTCTGTGAAAGACTGGGCAAGGAGATGCACTACATTTCCCCAAAAAAGGAATGGAGTCAGTTGTAGGACAGCAATATCTTCAGCCAGCACTGCTGTGTGTGTTGGGAGTGTCTGTCCACAGCCAAAAATATTCTACACTATACGGGCACCTCTCCAAGGGAATGTTTGTGAGATCTGCCTCCCCATTTATGGATTTCACCAGCACTGCAGGCTTCTGAAACGGTACTTTTGAGAATGGGCAACCTACAGCAAGCTCACAGGCCACATTCCTCCAAACATGCTCACCTTCCTGTACAGCAACGTCCATGGGGCTGGCGGTGGCACTCTGCAGCAGCTCCTGGTAGGACTGGGCTGACTGGTCGAAAAGCTGCACAAGCAGAGCGCAGGTCTTCTCATACTCGCATCGGCCGATGGTGGATAGCTGATCTAGCTGCTGTTGCACAAGGCCAGTATCGTCCAGTGGATCCTCCAAACCATCCCTAAGCAGCCAGAAAGCAGATTAGAAAACAACTTAAAACGTAGAGATAGCTTAAACCATAGTATAAGCTTATTTCTATCAGGTAGAGGATGCTTTCCTAGGCACAATTCCACTGACTAAAGCCTCTACCTCTACTATTTGTCACGATGGAGAGCTACACAGACCGATGTAATCATCTGATCATTACTGCAGCCATAAATCAGAAGAACAGTAGTGGTTCGGGTGGAAAGGCCATCAGGACCTGGGATGAGTAAGCTCTTCTATGTCTTTAATGTTTATCCAGGTCTTTGAACAGAATGTGCAGTGCCAAGAACAAGGTCTCTGGCTGTCTTTGTATAACAAAGCTTTCCATCTTTCTCAACGTTTTAGTTGCCTTTTCCTCTAAATACACTAACCTCAACAATAAGTTTATTGCTAACTCCAGAACTAGCTAAACCTGCTGTTCCTCCCTTGCATTGCCAGATACCTAAAAAGGGATAAGCCGATCAGTCTTCCTTAAGAGAGGCATTATTTTTCTGTATTTGACCATTTGTTTTCATCAAATACAAACACACACAAGGTAGAATTCATCCCACACGAATTCAGGCACTGCAACAGAGTCCTGTAGGCTGCCCTTACACTCAAGGGGGGGGGCCGGGGGGGAGATAACTTTAGGTATAATTTGTGCCATCCTACAGCAGAGATCTAAAAATAAAGTGAATCACACTTCGCATACTTATTCCCCTCTGCTACAATGGTAATTCAGAGTGTAAACAATATGCTGCAGATGTATGATGCTAGATAAGATGAACTCTACCCATAACATGTCGGAGACCACTTAGATCAATCTCCCATTTGAGATTGAGCAAGGTCTAAAAAACCCAGCTTAAAAAAAAAAAAAAATCTCTTTTTTATAAGAGACAGAATATGCAATTTAGGTAAGCTTCCCTTAGAAATCCTGTGGTGACTCACAAAACTTCCTGCAGTCATGCCCATTTTTAAAAGAAAACTCAGAACAGAGACACACGAGAGCCTTCTGCGTTAGACTGGTGCCGACAAGCAGAAGTGCTACCATCTCTCTGCTTTTCTTACCTCAATATGATGTGCACAGATTCCAGCCTGGATGTGATGTAAGCTTTTGTGACTTCTGGTGTGTATGTTTCGAGCATGTGAGGCTCTGTGGCTTTAACATAGGGCACTGATGCAGCCAGCCGCTGCCACAAGCTTAGGAGATAGTGAACGCTGTTCGGCGCGAACTCCCAGTGCTACCAGGAGCCAAGAGAAAGAAAAGGAAAGGAAAACAGTGACTTATGGCCTTATTTTACCCATATTATTTTGACTCATGTCACACTAGATATAGCAACATCTAAAACCTTTAATGATCTGGTTGGCAATTTTAACAATGAATTTCAGTTCACACCTCAATTCAGTGGGCATTATCAGCATTCAGTAAAGACTGAAAGATAATGCCGAGTTCCTAGGCTGTGTAGCTGAGCCAAAGCCTTTGGTCCCAAACTACTGCCGAGCTCATACTGTAGCGTACTGTAGACAGCTCCCCAAACAGAATGTACAGTTGAAAGCTGTCTTCCAGATAAATATTAAAATTCAACAAACAAAGGCATTATGTAAGCTATACAATTTTTTTTTAACCATATCCTGTACTGGGGTGTAGTTACAAGCCATATACCAGTGGAAAACTTAGTGGAAATATGGCATGATATTCATATTACTAGCAATCCCTGCAATTGCATTTTAATAGTGAAGCGATACATAATTCTAAAAATAAGCCTTATTTAACAAGGGTTCCCCCCCCGCCCCGGCTAGGACATGGAAAGACCTGGAGGCATAGCAACCCTGCCTTCCCCCACATACTGCTCCTGTTCCATTCAGTAGGAATTCACAGAATAATCAACGCTACACGGCAAGATTCTGTCAGAGTCTGCAGGATTTTTTGGTAAAAATAAAGTACCGCAAATTAAGGGGCAAAGAACAAACAAGAGGGTTATAATTTTGTTTCAAGAGAAGACAAGGGGCATAAACACACATCGAGGGTAAGTAAAACTGTTTTGTACCTGCAGGCTGGTCACGGTGAAGTTGGCAATGAGTCGGATGACCTCAGGGTAGTTCTCCACCTTCACCAGCTCTCCCAGCTGGTAATTGCTTTTCAATCGGGCCAGCAATCGGCAGAACTCATGGTAGTTATTTGGATCTGACAAACTCTGAGAGGAGAAAAAGAGGAGAATAATTGAGAAACAGCACTACTTCGCAACACATGGCAGTCAGCTACAAGAGGCACATATTTATGGCGGAATGGTAGGAAAAGTAAGAGCAGCAAGATGTTGCACCCTTCTTGCCAGCGCCACAAGTGGGACATGTACATTAGAAAATATTTTTGGTGAAGAAACTTGATGCAGAGGAAGCAAAGACACAATTCCACTGATTGCATCTGAAATACTCACCTGTGGGTTTTCCAGTATTCGTTTAACTCCATCAACGAGATGAGATAAAAACTTTGCTCTTTCCGCATTGTTGAAGAGGGATCTGCGTACAGAAGCTATTTGCACTAAGCAGGATAAAACCTAAAAGGGGAAAAGAGAATAAATAGAAAGGGAGGGATTAGAACAGTAAAATGAACAGCATGTTTCCTTTTCGTGACATAACAAATCATGTAAGTCTGATGCTGCTTTGCATGCTACACAACAGCTCCTTCATCTTTGCAATTCTGTGTAGTCTATGTAAAACTGTAGAAACAAATTACAGCAGAGATAAAAACCACATCACCCAAAGGAACATCTCCATCCCGACAGTCAAAGGTGTGTTCCAAACTCTGCTCCCAAAACCGCTGAGATTTCTTCAAATGGAGAACACAGATCGCGTAAGACTGAAAATACACTAGGACTGGCAAGGAAAGCTGGTAAACTTAACAGAGACTTGGAAAAGTATAGCAGAAAATAGAAGACTGGCAAGAAAAAAAATTAAATTGTTCTCAACCCAAATCTCTGAAATTTAAATCAAGAATAAATTCCAAGGGTGCAGCTGCAGTAGTGAGTAACAGGTTGGTGAATAGGGTTTTGAAGAGCAGCAGCAGTCAGTTATGACTAGCATCCTGCAATCCTTATCTGGAGGCAAAGCCCCATTCCCTCTAACCAGTGTAAGGACTACCTGCTCAACTGCTAGGCTTCTCATTCTTGCTGGCTCTTACATTTACTGATCAAAGAGGCAGGACAATTAAAGGTGTAATTGCTTCAGATTTCTATTCAGTAACAACAAAAAAAAAAGTCTCACACTGTTAAAGTCTCTCATGAATATTTGAGGCTCTAAATTCAGAATTAGCAAGTAACCCTTCAACATAATAACACTGCTGAGAGTCTCAGCAGAAAAAGTACTTCTGAAGGACCCTTCCCTCCCTAGCCAAAGGGCATGTTTTCATTGTAGCATTAACTATGAAAAATATTTATCCGATACATAAATGCCTGGCAGGCAATTTTTTTTCAAGAAGTAATCCAACTTTTAGTTCAGTTGTGCTATTGGCCATTTCATCCAACTGGGACATGGCCTAGTTTTAAAGCGTGGAAGGAGAAATTACATTCCTCAGTTGTGCTCCCAGACTTGCTACCTACTCACAGTATGGTTTTAGGATCAACTTAGCAGTACAGTGGAAATAACATAAGCTACATCCCTCAAAAAGGGCTTACTGGAAGAGCGAGCAGGCAGACTCTAAGCTACGCAAGGACAAAGAAGTAGGTTGGACTTCCAGCAAACAAGCTGCTCTTAGGTCAAATCCAAAACCTGCAGATGCATCAAAACTATCATCAGCAGCACCAGCCCAGCCTTCCCTTTGTCGCTATAGCACAAGGCAGTGCCTTTAAAGTAAAGGTAGCTGCCTGAAGTCAGCCTATGGCATTTTAACCCACGGCAAGTCTCCCGGATGAATCCTACAAACGCTTTCTGGTAGCAGAGTCTGTAAGGAAAATAAACACTAAACTTACCAGAGGAGAAAACGAAGGAGGGATGGAATGATAAAGATCAAAAAACAACTGAAGGGTCGAAGAATCCAAGAACGCTGAAACAGAACGGAGCATTTTACTGAGAACACCTCCATTTACTGCTTTCCATAATCTAACACTTATCAGCAATGGCACGTGTACTTGTCACATGAAGTACCATGCTATAAGAAAATTTCCAAAGGATTTTACATTTTTACACAATTGCCTTTCCTAGAAAGAAAGTAAACCCACTGGTACTTGGTACTAAGACAAAATTACAGGAAAATATTTTAAGAACACAATCTGTGAAACTGCCTGCAAAATGACTGGTGAGAACAGCAAGGATGTTGAGAACAGGTGCCGAGTTATCTGTTATTTACATTTTTAAAAAAAAAGAAACAGTTTTCTGTTTCTTGAATTGGCAGGTGTAAGACTGGAAGGGTAGAGGAGTGTTTTTATAGCTCAAGATACCCAACCCAAACTGAACTGCATTTGTAATCACACCAAGGAAAGGCTGGATTTTACATCTGGCATTGTATGCAAAAGTTTATTTGTTAAGTACAGAAAGGGCTTTAGCAAGTCACCCATGCTTTCAGCTGGTATGCTGTAGATCAGCCCTCTTCCTCCAGCAAGATTACCTGATCTCCAACTGGTTGGGATCTGCACAGTGCAAAGATCATCTGAGGACTCGTCTGTTGATGTGCCAATGAAATCAAAGTTCAGGCAATTATGTGTGAGCTTAAGAAGCTGCATGAGCAGACCATGCTGGCTTTCATCATTTAGATTCAGGTTCTTCCCAGAAGCCTATAAAATACACCGGATTAAAAAAAAGTAAAAAGAAAAAAAAAAACTCAAGGTGACAGCTGAGTTTGAGGCAGTAATTCAACTTTTAACAGGATGTGGCAGTCATAAGGATCATATGCCACAAGCACCAACTCAGCTATCACATACTTCTACAGACAGCATGTGTATTTACATGCTTAGTCTTTACACAAGATGGATAAACAGACAGTGCTTTCTTTTCCACTCGGCTTGTACTGCACAGGAGAAAAGCAGCCAGGCTTGCCAGCTTGCAATTATACTGTGAGATTCAGGAGATAAGGAAGTTCTTATTAAGGTTAAACACAAGAATACATTTTCTGCCTGACAAGCACTTAGTAGCAGCGAATCCTGTTGCTCCACCTAACCCTCATATGGAAATGAGTGCATTTACTTTTGTCACACAGATGATCTGTATAAGCCCTGCTCTGGTTACAACGCTCTGCTATGGGCAGGGAAAACATGGATGCTCTCAAGTAACACAAAGAACTCGACAGACACGAAATGCTAGGTCGTTTCACTGCAGTTTAAGTGTAGCACCCAGGTCTGTACTCACGCCAGCCTGTCTATCCTTTGTATTACTGCTCTGTACTTAGAACAAAACTAACTTCTTCCAGCTTAAATCTACTGCAAATAACACATTGCACACTGTGCCGACGCGCTGCCAAGACCAGTGCCAGTCGTCGCTGGAATGTCTTCCTCACTCTCTCCACTGTATCACAAAGACTTACTCTTCTGGGGCTGTCTAAATGCACTCTGTTTTACAGACATGGATACAGACGTGATCATTGGTTTCTCACAGTCCAATCCTCCCTACTCAAAAGGATCACCTTAGAAACTTCTGCTTTATATACAGAAGCTTGAGACAGCTACTATTAGACAAAAAAAGTTGGGTAGTAGGTGTTTCATCACAGGAAAACATGGACGTTACAGGAGACAACAGAAAACATTCCAACCTGTCTTAAACCACAGCATCCCAAGAAACAAAAGCAAGATGATTTAAGAGTTTCGGTGGAAAACTAGAGGCTTCCTCCTGAGACAAGCCATGTTTTTCTAGTCTCTAAGTCCCCATGGTCATGCTGCAACAGTAGTGTGGGCAATAGCTCAGCCAGAGCTACACGTACAGGACAACAGTAAGAGTGCAGTTCTGGGGACACCAGGTTAACAAGGTCTGGTTTATGCCTCCTGGCTAAGTACAAGCACTTGCTGAATTTTCTCCAACAAGTCTGGGCAGTTACAAGGACCCTGTCTTACTGCACCTCCCCAGGCGCTTCTTTTCATAAAACTAGAGGAATCCTTATATTCCTGAGACCTCTAATTGACCATCAAATGCACCTGAAATAAGCCAATGAACTCAAAAGTTCCCAGAGCTGTTATGGTTCAGGAGGATGGGTGCATGGGAAAGGATGACTAGCATAATCGTACAAGCCTTGCTTCCTTTAGAAACCAGGAGGAGAAAAAAGATTGAATTACACCCACGTACCCACCTTTATTACTGACAGAACCAGAGCTGCTCATTTTGAAATATCTTTAAAATAAAATTTCCTTTTCACTCTTTGTGCTATTTGTCAACTTTGACACTTCACTCAGCTGGAAGGATAAAAGTTAAGCTAATCAAATCTGTGCTACTGCCACTGAGTTTATTGGGGTAGACTTTCTCATAAAGGGCTATTCTTGAAGGCACCATTAGAACTCCAGATTAGCTTTTTAGAAAAGAAACCTGATGCAGAATCAAGAATTTTCTTCAGATGATCTACCTGCTTACAAAATACACATGTGCTACTTCAGCTGAAAGAAAAAGTGCTTTTTTTGGGGTAAAACCCAACCCTACTAGCAGAGCATTGCTGCCTTGTCCCAAGATAAGTATTTTTAAAGCAAGCTAACTCATGTGTGATAATTAGCACAAAATAAAAACCCGGGGAACAAAACACAGTCTAATATTTATCATGTGTTAAAATATCAAGGACAATCTTTAGTCTCAATCTACTAACCATATCTTCACTAGCATTTTTTCTCTCGCCATGTGGGTTTTAAACTGAGGTTAAAAAGACAAGGACTTATTTTGCAGGAAACTTCTCTGCTAGTACGGTAAATCAGAGATATTTAAAATGTAAAACAAACATCTCATCTCTTTCCTGATGCTTTAAGACAGGAAAATTTAACCCAAGCCTCATGATCCAGGTACATACGTTCAATCAAAATTGTTGAAGAGAGTTACATTTCTGTATTTGTGTCACATTCATTTTTTCCCCCTTAATACAAACCTAAGTCAAAGCTTTCCTGAAAAACAAGTCCAGAATATGGCTTTTAGAACAACGGCACTTGTTCCAGGAGAGTTACATCAGAGGGAACTTCAGCCCAAAACATACAGCCCCCAAGAGAGATGACAAACGACGGTTTCCTTACCTGTTTCAGTAAATTGCATGACAGTGTGAAAATATCAAATAAGGATGAATCTCGGAAGGAAGAGGCTATTTTCCTGTGCTTGGTCAGTGGATGAGTAGTATCCGCCTGAGCAGAGAGAAAACCAGCGCTTAGAATTGATGGGCAGAGGTGGAACAAGACCAGCAGAACCCATAGGAACCCTGTAAAGCACCGGGACATCAAGGTTTCCCTCCCCAGAGCAATGTCACACTGGCTGGCTAAACCAGGGGGATGCACTGCCACTGCGGTACGTGCTGCTACTGCAAAACAGTGGTTCTTCCACGGATAAAATCATATTGCTGGCTGATGACAGGACTTTCCACCTACAATACAATGCAGTTTCACTGTACCCCTGCCAGAAAGCAGGATTGGGTTTACCGTCAAGTTCGTTTAAATCTCTTCCAAAGCAGGATCAACAGCAGTATTTTCAACAGCACTTAAGTCATTTTAGAAACCTGAACGCTGTTTTCTAAAGTGCTCCAAACTCCTAAGAGTTAAATCCTACCTGAAGCAGCTGGGCAGACACATGGTCAACTACTAGCAATTATAATTCCCCTCCTGAACCTGCACAGATGAGAAGAAAACTAGAAGGAGAGTTAACCAGTGACAGCCAGTTCGGACTATTGCTGTATCTACTTTAAACTCCAGTTCTGGAGCTCTCACAGTACCAGAATAAAAAGCTGACATATGATCTGAGGCAAATACACACATATTGCTTTATACTGGATAACAAAGTCTCCAATTGATTCAACCAATGCATTCTAGCATGGGCCAGCACAGGTGAACGGCAGCATGGGTTATGTCCCTTTGTAGAGTGCTTTCTAGGAAGGGGAGAAAAGTGAAGTGATACTTCACATCTTTGCCATTGATTTGAACACAGGCTGGCAAAATTCCACTTGCCCAGGATAAGTTATTTGATGGGCAGTTGGTTATCACAGTGCATCTGGGATGGAGCCTTACTGCAGCCCCGTGTAGAGGCACGCAACTTGAATCTCCATTTTCTTTATGCTTTTATTACTATACCTCTGTTAACCTTAAATATGTACACATTTCATCCAGAATTGTAGGAACCAGTACAGCTCTAACCACTGCAGACCTCACTTTAATGTACTAACCTTCACAACGACCTCATGGAGGACGCAAACACTCTTGTCTCTTATATTACAGGTGAGAAAAAGAAGCCCTGCATCACCCAATAGTTGGTGGCAGATGAGAACTGGACCTAAATTTGTCAGGTGCTCTAACGACTGAATTATCGTTCCTCAGCTCATGCCATTAGATTGCAGGGTCTTTAAGAAAGTGAGCGTTATTTATTCTCTGCATGGTTATTACAAATCTCACGTATTTCTGGACTTGTAGCAAATGAGCATTTCCTTTTTCTTCACTATGAGGTCACGTGGCTGAAATCAGTGAACTTCTACAATACAGTGACACCGAGTACCTCCGGGCGAGTCTGTGCAGTACTTACAGGATGAAAACTGATACTTCAAAACAGTTACTAGCACTTTATTTTATTTGTACTGTGAGCTTTCGGAACAAAAGCTTTAGTAAACAGAGCTCTATAAAATTCAGCTCTCACGCAGTGTAGTTGGAAGTTTAGTTATCAAAAAAAGCCTGAGGAGAAGCCCCACAAGGGTTGTTTTGGGCGAGTTTTTTTTGCTATCTATACGTACACGACCTCACTCTGATGAGTGGGCACGTTGGCAGATTTATTATTTTGCAAGTAATAGCAGTTTTAGACTTTACAAGATGAGTCACCGAATCCAGCCCTGTGCAACTGCTGGCACAAAGCACATCTAGGAATGTGTAGTAAACTGTGGCAGATTTAATATCCAAGGTATCAGGAAGAGATTTTTGATCAGAGTCTTTAATTTCGTTGCTTATTTTAGTATCAACCTGTAGAGACTCTAGAACTGGGATAGGTGACAGTTTCTGACCATTCTCCTGCAAGCAGAAGCTGTAGCCCTGCACAAAGATGCTGGCAGACACATACTAATTGATAGAGGTAAACAGACTTGCTTTCATCCTTGATGCAAGGAAGTGAAGGACCGGCTCTCTCCGGAGATGGAGTTAGGATTGTTCAAGTCTGGGCAAGGAAATGATAACAGTAACAAGACACGGCTTAAGAGTTAGGAGGAGAGCTATGGGTTAGGATTTACTGATCAGGCCAGGCTTGAAGAATGAAAGTGAATTTGGGGTCTGAAATGGATGCAGAAGCCATTCAGATTACAGTGCAGGGCTTGGGAACTTCATCAGAAGAAATCGGTGCTTTGCTCTGGCCCGGACAAAACCTCCTCCATTTCCAGTTCTGAAAACAATTTGTAATCATCCTTCAAATCCCACTCAAGGATCTCTCCGTTCCAATGCCTGGATTAGTCAATATACCAGCAAAAATGAAAGGTTAGTTTCCTTAGTGAGATATTAAAATAAAAAAAACTTAGTTAAAAAAAACCTGGTCCTCTTAGCAAAATTAGAGACATTTATACACGTAGCAACCCTCATGCTGTCTTAGGACAGTGGTAGCCATCAACGGTGCTACAACAAAGTCTGCCTGACTGATTAGGAAAATGATGTAAGCTTAGATAGCACCAAGTAAAGCCGCTTGTTCCAGCTTTCAACATAAATAGGGAGAGGCAGCATTACGTTAGAGGGCCCTACAAACCACCGACCTAACTAACCTGGAAAGACTTGCTGCAGCTAGCATGACTGGGTGCCATGCCAGAGCACCTCGGACCCGGCATGCCCAGTCCTCCTTCTGCCAGTCACCCAGGGCCGGGGCTGTGTAAGGGACTCGGCACTCAGCCCCAATAAACTGGCAGAATTTGAGAGCTACCTGCTGCGAACGCTATGAAATTTAGTACTGAATGAAAAGGACGCTTTAAAAATCTGCACAATGTGACAAACCCTCTTTGCTTCATCTCCCTGGTCAATACGGAGGAGGGCACGCTCCATTCACTTCTTGGCATAAGAATGCTTTAAACTGAAACAATGCACGGGGACCGACAACAGAAGGTGCTAGGGATGTCCTCAAGCTCGGGGCTTTGTCCTTACTAGGTCGGCTTGGCTAGTTGCTTAGCATTGCTCTTTCCTTTTTCATCTCAGAAGATTACATCAAAATATGAGAGAAGATGGAAGATGCCAGTGAAACAAAACAATTCCTCAGGACAGGAGGTTTCAGCATCTTACCACAACAGTAAGTGACTGCGTAAAAACGACGACAACAAAAAACGAAACAAAAAACCAAAACACCCACCACACAACACCCTCTCCCCACCAAAAAAACCCAAACAAAAACCCCCAAACAATGCACAGACACACAGCAGGACACAACAATATGAATGAGAAAATTGGACACTTACTTCACTGAGGAAGGCTGTAGCACTTACTTGATTAATTTCATTAGTTAGTTGGGACAGGATTGTCACTCCTATGATGCAGTGCTCTACACTATCCTAAGGAAGGAAAAGGGGACAGGGAAAGCAGTTAGCAGTACCAGGATATTTTCATTAAGCTTCATTGTCAAAGACCTTTCTGCTTGGAAGATTTCTAGACATGTTTGTCTAGAAATGCTTTATCTTTGTAATACTGTGACTGGAAGAATACTGGAAAAAAACCAATACTAAGCAGAGAATTTAAAATGTGCTTTTAAAATACTTAATGTTGTTAACAATGTAAAGAGTTCTAAAGAGTTCGGTAACATGACCTAATAAAAATAGGCTCCTGTTATTTAATAGTTTAATAAAAATTTTTGTGTTATGTCCTAACTCTGAAAAGACTTATTTAGATTTAAATCAGTTTGTTTAATTTTAACAGAGGCTATGGTAAAATGTGTGGAAATTTCTGCAACATTAGGATGAGTATTAAAGTTGCCAGATGAAAACTCTGGGAAATAAACTTTCCCACCTCCCCCTCTTTTTAAACTACAGACCTTGAACAACATGAACAGCAGCTGACCAAGTTTCTCCACACACCCGCCCCACGACCCTCCTGCCAAGAAGGACAGCCCATCTCCCAGTGAAGGGAGTCCATTCTTCACAGCCTGTTCAGCCTCTGGCTGCACTTGAGACTGCCAACAAGGGGCCAATTGTGAAATAAGTCTGTTACAGATACCTCTTCACTAGAAACGGTAATCCATTTATCAAATGATTTAAGAGAAACAACCTGTATTGTTCCTTTGCCCCAGTTTCTGTTCTGTAACTAATAAATGATGTTTCCTTTCCTAGCTCCACCTTGCTTTGCACCTTCTGCACAAATTGCCCTGATCTCCAGCTCATCCACTCATCCACAATAGAGTAATCCAAGCATATTTAGGCTTGGGACCTTGGCCACCTCTTTACTGGAGCCATCTCTTGATGACAGTCTCAGTATTTACACGATAATATCTAGACAGAAGCCACTGGAAAACCTTGCTGAACCACGTCTTTAAAAAAGTGCAGCCTCCTATACACTTTAGCAGCCAGAACAGGTAACTTGAGCAAATGGGAACAGACCATCTCAAACTGAACACAGCAAGTAGATATTCACACCATTTAATTAGGTTCCTGATTAAAAAGCACACATTCCCTGTGTCATGAGCAGGGAGAGCGAGGAATATAGCTCTGATAATTTCAGCTAAGAGCACCTGCGAATTATTTGGGACATAGTTACCAGCCAGAAAGGAATATGATCTTTAAATTACTTAACACCTTCTAGATCCTACTTCACTGCAGACATCTGTAAATGCCTAAAATAATAGTAGTTAGCCTATTTTCTGAATGCCCATACTCTACCACTCCAGAATTAAAGCCTTGCACACATTACATCTCCTTTTCCACACTGGGAAGAATTTCTGGTCATTTTGAGCTCTTCTACCGTCTTTCTCCAACTTTTGATTTTGGGACAAATTTCAGAGCAAATAAATCAGTATTCATAGTGTTACAGGATTTACTGATCTCTCTGGGAAGTTTCAGTTTGGAGACAGCTATTGATAAAACTGCAACCTTCTACCTACAGAGCCTTTTGGGTTGGGAATGAAACCCTATACTGTGGTGACAGCATGTACATTTAAGAAACAACAGTCAGGACTTCTAAAGAAAATTAACAATAACGTTTGTGTAACATGCTAGTTTTAAGCTATATTTTGTTATGATAACTCAGCTAAATATCAAACCTAACTTCCATGGATATATCACCCTTGCAGTGAATGAAAGCAAGTCAAGCATGGCACATGTTTCCCTCGTAGACAATAATCCCACATGTTTACCATTCTGCACTAATCAGCACCATGATTATTTAAGCTCTCAGAATTATTTAAGCTTGAGAGCTAGAAAGAAGAATTGTGCAACTGGAACACTAAAAGATACATCTTACCATTGAATACTAGTGGTGGCAGTTTCCAGAAATAAATCTCTGCCCCACCAAACGTTAAATTATAAAAACTGACCTGTCCTGCCAGTTGTCAGCTGCTAGCCTTGGTAGTCACTATTTAATCAACAAATGCACAGATGAAAGGCTGGACAGAGGATACTAAGGTGCAAACCAATAACTGAAAATGCATGGACTTTCAAATCCCACAAGGTGTGTATTCATCTCACAAAAAGTCTGACCTGTAAAAACCTTGTGACATCTGTGATCACGTTCCTGAAGACATATTCATCCTTCTGACAGTCAAACCAGCCCAACTTTGTGATCCTGGCATATAACTGGATTAGTGCTTGTGTGACAAATGTTGCCAACTTTGGCCTAGTGGCAAGGTAGTTGAGCACATAGTTCCCTGAAATACAGAGAAGAGGTGTATCTGTAGACAAAAACTCGGCAGATGGAACTGAGATGGTAACACTGATAGGAAAAAATCTTTTTGAAAGCTGTTTAAAAAAAAAAAAATCAGCACAGTAGTGGGTTAGATACAAATGTTGGCCTTTTACTTGTGCCTTTGACATACTAAAGCTGTGCAACAGATCTGGAAAGTGCTTAGAGACAGGTGAGAGTTCCTCCCCACAAGCCTAACTTGTTTTGTGTTATCAGATTAAGTCCAATCTTCTGTAAGCACATGTAAATAGCAAGAAAAGCTGAAAATATTTCAAGACCTTTCTTCAGGGATGATCATCTACCACATCATTTGTAAAAGAAGGAAAGCAGACCGTATGGTATCAGCCCTTCTCCAGGAAAGAGCACTGTGACAGACAGACTGCTCCCTTAGGAAATACCCTAAATGGTATTTCAGAGACCCATAAAGGATTTTCAGTTTTGAAAGCATGTCCTCAGAAGAGGCAAGCACCATGCATATTTTATACTCCAAAAGAAATTTATCAAATGCAACTGGTTTATTCACAAGACCACAGAGCTGTCACTCCTTTCCATCTGGAAAAATTCTGTATATTTAGCCTGGAACTCTGTTAGCTAATGATAAGTGAAGATGCCATCTAAGAGAAATGTTTCTTTGCCTTTTGGGCATCCTATACCTTAGGATGCCCAAACTGTAAAGCACAGTAGCTTGCAGAAAACTTCCCATAGATGAAAGTCCATATGACAAACATTCACATTATTTTGGCTAGAAAAATTAAGTACTGTACTTACGAATATCTATCCGTTGTTCCAATGGTAAAGGGTTGTTTGTGCGTGACACGAGTTTTGTAAGGCATGTAGCTGCCAGTAACTGGGAGTAGGATGACTGTAAAGAAAAAAAAAAAACCAACAAAACACAAACAGACGTTTACCACACACTTCAGAAGATCAAGCAGCAATGCCGGACTTTAAGCTAATTGCTCTCTGGAAGTTTGAGTTTGAAGCATTAATTTAATTGGTAAATCCAAATACTCTACATAGCATTTATTCTATGTTTTTATAGACACTAACGTAAACCAAACACTTGAAGAAAGTGTTTAAGAAAAAAAGGAAAAGGTTTTAAAGAGTGGAAGACAGTAAAACTGCAAACATAGTCAAACTGCATGAAGTTACCTTAAATGCCATGCCTGAAAAAGACAATTAGCCCTTTGAGCTGTAGGAGTACATTACTCTACATTAAGAAGCGCTTACAACTTCCACTTGATTACTAAATACAGGTTAAAATTTATTTCTTACAGAACAGCACACAGATCACTGATCTGTAATCTAATTCAGGGACACAAATGATGGCATTCAACCACCTAAAACCCCTGGCTGCACCCGATTCCATAAATTACAGCCAGGGAAATGACAAGCATTTTGCATGCTAATTTCTGTAATATATGGTACTGTAGAAAGCTTAGTATCCGAGAGGCAGGATACCTATTTATTCCGACATTCCCAAGGACAGTCAGGTATAAAGTGAGTCAGACCCAGACTGAACAAAAAGCCCGACAATTCTCTGGCAAGGGTGAGAGGCAATGGATCACACGCAGAGAATGAAACTGGGCTTTAGGAACTTTCCTTAAAAAAAAAAAATATTATTTGTCCTCAGGTAAACCAGTTACTAGTTCCCATCAGAAGAGCTTCAAATCAGTTTGTTTTGAATTCACTGGACTTCAAATTTAACAAAAAGTTAAATAATTCGCTTTATGTAAGTTTGCTATGCCTGTTAAGCATCACTCTTCTCCCCCTCCCTTCACCACCTCCTCTCCTCCTCCTCCTGGAGGACTTACTCTTTTCAACAGGCTGTTTAATGTTTCCTATTTTTGTGAACAAGTCTCCAATCTGATAGATATGAAAGCTGTATACACATTCTGCAAAAAGTCAAATCTTGCAAGATCATGTGGCAAAACCATTTAAAATGTTATTTGTGCTGATACAAAGTAAAAACCAAATGGCCACTTAAAAAGAAGAAAGCTAAAAATGTCAGGCAGGATTTACTGCTGGCATATTTTACATCCTTTCTGTAACACTAATTCTAAAGCACATGATCTAATTTTCCCTGTTTTAAACTGCTGGATTATTAAGACAACACTATAGCAGGGGCAATTTTCCAAGGAAACATTCCAGAAGAAACACTGCTGGTTTTATCCCCTATGAACCTCTGTGCACACACCATTTTCTCCCCAAAGCCTATAGAGAAGGCAGTGGTTCCCACAGCCTATGAAATACCACTGCCATAACAATGTTTCCAACTTAAAGCTTGACATGTCTGGGTGGTAGCCTGCAAAGAATGCAGCAAGGCCCACAAGACATTAGAATTGACAACCGTTTGTAGTAACCACTGCAGCAGCATAATTAGCCATCAGAGCCGATGCTTTTTTTGGCATAGGCTGCCCAAAAATTGAGATACATGAGAGCATACTGGGTATGCAATATAAACACTGCATACCAGACCTTGGGGCTATTTCCCTTTTCAATGCCCAAAATACCAAGATACGTTTTGGACAATTATATTGTTTTACATACACTCCCTCTTTCTAGAAGAAGCTGGCACTTGCTCAGGCAGTCTGGACTGTTGGTGAACTCAACCAAGGCTTTCTCTGCCTGGAGCCGTGTCGCAGTGTCTGTGGTCTCATACAGCTGCTTGCACAGGTTCTCTAGCTGGGCTAGGCTCTGGAATACAGGAAAACAAATCAGTTAGAAACAAGAGGTTTTAAATTTAGTTATGCAGCAGTTTAACCCGGATTGTATGTACGTATACATACACACATATGTAACCTTACTGTTTGCGCAAAGGAAGGAAAACGCTCAACTCAGTTTGTTCTTCCATCAACTAAATGCATTTAACCTATTAAATTACCTATTAAATACAGAAATTTCACAGCTACCTCTCACACCTGACAAAGTACCATTTGCCTCCCCAATTTTACCTTTTTTACCTGAACTCGGGCACCCACTCCCAGGGTCAGCGCTCACCTAGCCTGAACGCACCGCACTGTGCGGCTGAGGAGACCTGGAAAATCTCTTACAGCCTGTGCTGTAATGGTGACAATCCTAACCTGCCCATTTTAAATAGCGAAAAACATTCTCACATCTAGTTTTTACGTTATACAGTGTCAAATGGCCCACAAACTTGGTTTATATTCCCTTTGCAGGGCACCATAACAGACTTCAGCATCCCAGGATGCTGGACGGATCTCATGTTAAATCTTCTACACTACACATGCCAAAAATACCTAAAGCAGAACAGAGCAAATGAAGAATGGGATGGATGCCTTTGAGCGGCGTCTCTGTGAACGCATTCGAAGGGAAATAAAACTATGAGGCAGATTCTGTGTGCTCAAACAACTGGAAAATATTTGCCATAAACTGTGATCCAGGCAGATGGTTTCCCCCAGTGAAATCTTAGGTGTCCTAGTTAAAAAGTGGCTTCACAGATGGATACAAATATTCCCTCAGGTTCTTACTGCTAGATTAATAAGCAGGTATTTTCAACTGCTTTAGGGCTACATTCTAGGTTTCCAGGCGTAAATCATTACAAGCATACCATAACTCTTGTGCTTTTGTGCATTTGTAAAAAGAAGGATAGCATCAGTCGCCTAATTTATTTTTGGAGGAGAGACTGTTATGCAAAAGCCGAGTTACCGACAGGGTCAGCCGACGGACTCACGCACCACATCAGCGCACAGCTGAACGCTTTCTCATACACAAGCACAGCAATTCCACGCCAAGAGCACACAGAAGTTTTTGATGCTCTGTTGCTGAGATGATCATCAGATGAGACAGTGTCAGAAGAAACACAGAGAGGGACCCTCTGCAAAAATTCTCTTCCCTTGTACCGTATTCCAGAGCTCTGTGATTTTTTTTTTTTTAAAAAAAACGACCTCATGGAAAATATTGCCCTGCCAGCTTCACCACGTTAGAGAAATTAGAGAACTTTGCCAAGTGCCAGACAGCAGTTCAACATAAAGTTTTGGTTTTGAGAAAGCCAAAACCCAAAGACTTAAGCTCTACACAGAAAATCCTCAAAAACCTAAGATGAATATAAACCATTATTAACCATAAACTATTATAAACCATATTAGCTACAGTTAAGCATTTGTCAGTACCTGTCATTTCTCATCACAAATCCACTTTCAGTTATCTAAAATCAGTTGGCAAAGTCTACATACAGGAAGGTGCCTGTTCATGTGTACCATCATTTTGCCCAAGGACAAAATACCATTTCCTCCAAATCTCAAAAATCCTTGCACCATTTATCAATTTGAAAAGCTACCATGACCATTCGGTCCACGTGTGTACGGTGGACCGAAGCCTTGGGAAGCGGCTCAGCCCTGCTCCACCACCCTGGCAGGACAGCGATGAATTGCAGCCCATGGTCCCACAGTGAACTGAAGAATACTGATCCAGAGAGCGTAGTTTACAATTCTGGAAAAAAAGTATCTATTTTTAAGAGTTTTACGCCACCCTGCATTAAT